CTCTTGTCTTACAGTTCCTCCAACTTTTTTTTTTTTTGGTAATTTTGAATCACAGCTCTGATGAGAGTGAAATGTTTAGGCTGACAAGTTGGCTGGACACAGGCTGCATGGGGCACTTTGATCTGAATGTTCTTTTATGGGCRTACACACATATGGACACACACATACAGAAGCCAAAAACCAGTTCAGCTAAAGAGATTTTTAGTCAGTCACAAAAGTGATTGGATTGCGCATGTGCTCTGGTTCTTTTAGTTTCCTCTTTCCACTGATGTGCACCACTTTTAAATACAGTATCTCATCAGCTCTGAGTAACAAATCCCAGGCCTCAACTAAAGGCCCATCAGTGTGAGCCCATTTAGCAGCTTCAGATGGAGTATGCAGTGTAAAGAAAGCAAAATGATTTCGGTCCAGATGGAAATGGCATCAAAGATGCTGAAAAGCCCATGCCACGCCAGTGGGGGGTGATATGGTTTACATTAACAATGCACCACATTACAAAGGAAGGCATTCATTTACTCTGAGTGCCTGATCAACCCAATGTCCCAGGAGTTTTGGTATAATTCAAATCCTTTAGTATTTTTTTCCTGATTAATTATAAGTTTCAAGGTCGAATATGTCAGCAGTTTGTAAATTCAAGGCCCTTGTGAGGTAGCGCATTGCACAAATTATTTGCATAATTAATGTGAAAATCAAGATAATCCTAAGAGTCAACTGAGTTAATATGATCCTTGTTTGTCTTTTACGTAACCTGGTTGTTGTTTATGTAAGCTTGGTAGCTGTGTGTGTGTTAGTGATGGGTGAACCYAGGGTTTTACGCAGATGGTGCATTCAGGTGCTGGATGTTCCAGCTGTTCTTGGAGCCTCCAAAACATCCCATCCCCCTGGATTGCATAGCCTGAATATAGGCAGTATCACTCAATTGTAATTGTTGGGTCTGTGCTTTATGGTGCATTTATTTAATTTGTTGACTTTATGTAGAAGGCATTCTAAGTGAAAGAGAGGCTGAAAACTCATGCAGTAGTAGTTATTTTATTYAGTTCTTTTTATTATGTAGATTTTGTGTGTATTCATTTTTTGTCTGAGGTTTAACTGTCAATGCTTTATGATATCTTTTGTTAGTTTTTGCCTGTTCTATCTYGTTCACAATTTCACCATGGCACCTCTCCACAAATGGACATCAGGAAAAATAATTGCAATTCTACGATTTACTATAAACACCTCTGAAATGCCTGGAGTGGATGGTGATTAACCTATGATCCCATGCCTAATAGCTTTAGCAGCAGACAAATGACAAATGTCTATCTGTGGGTAATTGATGTATAGAAGAAATAATCAGGCTCCCAGGCCCCTCATTCAGCATCATCTCCTCAGTGCCCTGCTGGGGTCATTTAGCATTTATGTGCCCGACCTAATGCATTTATGGCTCCGCTCTGCTCAATGGGCCAAATGAGAGCCACAGCTCACAGTTTACAACCCTTCCTGTTACAAGTTGATAAATTATGCTATAACTGCTAAAATCATGACATTTTCAGCAAGGGCATTTTTACAAGTTACAAGTTTTTCAAGCTGCTCTAGGACATGTTGATAAAAAAATGTATTTTTTTACACATTTGTTAAAACTGTCACTGTGTACTGAGAGTAGAATAGGTGACAGATAATCAGAAAAAGTAAAGCTCCTCTGGCTCCTCCCATTTTTTTTCCTATTGCAGAAGAACTGGTGTCTATTGCCAGCTATCACTGCGATAGGCAAGGTACACCCTGAACATGTCCCATAATGAGAAAAAAACAACATC